GCTTGTGGCTGAAGTAAAGCCAAGAAAATAAATAACAGCAAAATAATTTTTCCCCATATATATTTATTAGACATTGCTGAAGTGAATTATTCCTATCATCATTCATAATATCTGGATTCCAGATTCTGGTTTCTGGTTCCGGATTACGGTTTCCGGCTTCAGTGTTTTAGGGTTGCCCTTGATGATGTACGTGCATGTTAATCTTGAATAATCTGAAATTTCAGAGAGTTTAAAAATATCATATCATATCTGTGATGGTTCCGAGGTGGAGGGCTGTTACATGTGCATGTAAATGTCTCATGCACGATTTTTCACTTGTTATGATTCAGCTGCCAATAGTTTCTGTATCTGTTAGTGTGCAACAATCTACACCAATATTTCAACCTAATAATGTACAGTGTTTATTAATTAACCAAATTATGCTGTTTTTAGTTGACCAATGCAACTACATAGTAATGTGATGCTGACGCACACAAATTTACAAATATGCCCAGTGTCAACTTGTCAAATATATCAACTGGCCAGACAGTCTAGATTACAAAATGTTCTGAAAGTTGGAATTATCAGGTAAGATATTTCTTAAACATTATTTTGTAATTAATGATTTCTCAGACATTGTTTTTTTCAAGAAAAGATTCATACCCCACATATAGAGGGTTTTTTCTCTAAGGGCTCCCTCCTCCTGTTACTTTGGAATGTCTAATGACTGGCCATGGATGGGTGTTGGGTGTGAATATCTTCTGGAACTGCACATTCAGATTAAGTCAANCTTGTCAAATATATGAACTGGTTAGACAGTCTACATTACAAAATTTTCTGAAAGTTGGAATTACCAGGTAAGATATTTCTTAAACATTATTTTGTAATTAATGATTTTTCAGACATTGTTCTCCTCAAGAAAAGATTCATACCCCACGTAGAGGTTTTTTTCTTTAAGGGCTCCCTCCTCCTGTTACTTTGGAATTTCTAATGACTGGCCATGAATGTGTGTTGGGTGTGAGTATCTTCTGGAACTGCACATTCAGATTAAGTCAACAAGAACATCAGTATTTATCCTGACAAAGTCTGATTTTCAGCCTGGAGGGCCCTTTAATTGGGACTGTGCACATTGTTGTACTGCAATATTCCAGTTTCTTGTTTAAAGCAAATTGCATGTGCTCTTGAAAGCAAGTCGCCAAGTTCATAACCGTTATATATGTTTGCTTCGCATCTCAGGGCAGAGCCTGCTAATGTGAAAGTTTTGGTACCATCCCCCTAGCATTTGATTCACTACTGTAGACACTCAGTAAACAACTAAAAATAAAGTACACTGTATATCAATGAAAGGAATGTCATCTGTTGGTTATAAATTATAATCGATGTGTCTTTGTATGTTCAGTGGTGTTCAAGTAGCAGCTATATACAGTATGATTACATCCCTGTTCCTGCCAGTCAATATACGAACAGTGTACACATGGCCAGCCTGGATTAAAACATCACAGATTTTCAAAGCAACCATAGCCAGGTGAGATATTTCTAGAGAAATATTAATTCAAGGTCCTTAAGATTGCATATAGGGATTGATTTTTATTGTAAACAATACCTTACTGAATGTATTTTTCTTGTGTACTAATTGTTGTAGAACACAGAGACCACTATTATGACAGAGATATTAATGTGTGAAAAGTTCCATAAAAAAATGCACTGGGAAGAAATTAAATCATCATAGATGCACCTTCTGAGAGATCCCCAATATTAATGGAACATACATTGTACATACCTGTAAAGGAGTTCAATAATTTATTACTTAAGATTGTAATGCTTTGTTTGGTTT